ATAGTGAATCGGTTTTGTATTTATTAAATTGAAGAAATCTTGTCATTGCTGCTGTTAATAAATTGCTTAGCTTAAATTACTACAATTACTAGAATCGATTCGATTTGATACGATTCAATGCTCTTAGAAAAGTAGATAAATATGCATTTATAGTTTTTATTAAGGAATTTTAAGTGATTTGATAGGTATTTTGACGAAAAAACTATTGTTAGATTGCTATTGTCATGAATTATGACCATCGTTTCACTAGAAAAGATCGTCAATTGTTTTTTCTTGATCATTAGACCAAATCATTATACGAGGTGATTTATTAAACTAACATCACGGAAGTCTTCCAACACACTATATCATGATTTTATAGCATTGGGCAATAACTTTTAAGGTCTTCAGCAATTGCCCAGTGGTCCAAACCCGGCTACGCCACCGTTCAAAAATCAGTAATAAATCATATTTATTTTAGAAAAACCGTCATTTATCGACATATTTGAGTAAAAATATCTATTTCATGACATTATTAAAAAGGATAAGGCAGATATCTTTGATTAACATGAAAGGAATATTGATGATAGTAAAAGGGAGAAATCCAAGAGAAAAATTTTCCTTCAAATATTATTTATAATTGATTTCCTAGTTCGTTCTTGTTTAATTATATTATGCCATTTGAGATATGTTCTTGTACAATTTATGTTATTATGAAATGTAAAATCATAAATAAATATATTTCTCTAGATGACTTCCAATGAAATATATTGACAACCTTTTTATTGATATTCTGATAGAAGAATTTATATTAAAATGAAAATTATTCTAATTTCCACTGCAAAGAAATAATATTGCGTGAACGTTTGATCATATAGTCAGTAAGTAATTTTTCAGAATCGATCATTTTTTGTAATTTGCGGATTTCTTCATCGTTTCTATTGTAAGTATTCAGCTGTAATAGATAGAGATGGGGAATATGTGTAAAAGTTTGCATCAAAATAAATCGCACAAGCCTCTCAAGATCCATATCTACTGGCTGACCCACATTGAGATATTCAATTCGAGGACAAAGAACGATAAGAAGTTGCATCTGTTCAAAGTTCCTCGATTGCCAAACTTTAGTAATTTTGTTACTATTTGATACTAGACGAAGACTTTCTGCATCTTCAATGGATAAACTATTGAGTTGTAGAGGTGGTAAACATGTCACTCTCAACGAATCAAGATTTGGTAAAAGATGTATAAGTTTGAGAAATGTGGAAAAGGGTACTTTTAGAAAGCACACATACAAACTGCTAACTTGAACTGCAATTAATATAGGATTAAGCTTGTCAGTTATTGATATATTTGACTCCACACAATTGTGATCCCAGACAGAAAGTTCAATAGTTTGAGAAAATTGAATGGAAGGATTGTTACTCTTCTGTGAAAGAGGACCAACAGTGTATGATGTTAACTTATAATATGTATTTGAATTAGAATGTGTAAGCACATCTGCATTTTCATCCAACCTGCACCAGAGTTTACTGGAAAAAAAAATTATCAATATATTAATAACAAAAGATTATTCTTCGATATACCGATTCGACTTAATTGAATAAAATATTTTTCCAGAATTAAAGGCAAGTCCAAACACCCATCCATGATTAATCCAAAATTGAGAATTGAACTGTGTGAGGAATTTATCGAAATAGATATCTTTAAAATTATATCATCAACATTTTCGAAATAGATATCTTTAAAATTATCATCAACATTTATCAGACATTGTACAGTAAACTCCAACAAATGAGGCATGTATTGTAAAATTAATGATTTCCATCGATCAGGATCAATATAATTCACATTACACAATCTCCAGATATTCAAAACTTTTAATTGATCACATATCTTTTTCATGAATTTTTCAAATTCATCAAACTCTATAACACATTCAGCAAATGAAACATATGTCAAATTGGGTAGTGTTAATGATATTTCGTTATCCATGTCGTCATATGATTCCAATAAATCTCCACAAGACAGATGGCGTAGTCGGGGTATGTGATAGAGAATCGACGTAAGTTCATTGACAGTACAATTATGTATCATAATTAAATATTCTATAGTACTAAATCGTTCATTAATAGCAAAAGGCACCAAAGCTGTTAATTCATTATCTTCAGGTAATGTCAGACAGTTATATTTTAAGGAAGACAGCTGGAATAGCATCCGATATATTTTTCCTAGATCGTAAAAATAATCATCTTCAAGAAATACGGTCAATGAGAAGAGATGAGGGAGAGGATTTAAATAAAAAAGAAGTTCCATAAATTTATCCGATGAGATTTGGTTGAATTTAACTGATTGAAGACGATTGAATGATGAATCAATGACACATTGTTCAAAAAACTCATTAATGCATGATAAATCAAAAAAATCAAACGAAATTATTCGATGTCTGTTGGGAATGATAACACTGTTACAGCTATCTTTTATCTCTGCTCGAAAGTGATCGGAAAATTTAATTTTAAGTAAGAGTGATGACGAAGTGATAAGACGCTGAAAACGATTATTAAGATTAGAAAATGCTTTATAAATACAGCAACCATCGAGATAATCAAAAATTTCATAAAAAACTTCATTTGATAAATTTTCGATTGTAGTGATTAATATCCTTCAAAAATAAGAAAGATATAAAACATTAAGGCAACTTTTTGTTGCTTACTTTTCATTTTGTGATATTGCTGATGACATGGAAAAAATTCAAAAGGAAGAAAGTGATTAAGTTTATGGATGTAAAATGTAACTTACTCCTTTGTTTCTTTATTTCTACGTCGAAAGGTTCCATGAAACTCGATTGTCGTTTCACTTGATTTATGTTTATTTGAAAATTGGACATGATGGAAAAATTTTTGTCACTATAAAATACATTGAATACATTTTCATATCATTTTTTTCATTTCATATATATATATCATCTTACCTGAAGCAAACAGAACGGCAAATAAACGTGACTATTATAGACCCAAATGCTTCTCCATGTGATAAGAATAAGTAATATACCTGTACTTCCTTTTTTATGTCAAATATTTTCTATGAATCATTAGATATTTGAAAATAAGTCATAAACAAGTAAAACTGTATCGAATGAAAATAACATAAACGTCCATCTACAATTTCAAATAATAAAAGCACGCCATCTGTTTCATCCATTTGTGCTAGTAGTACATGATATTTATTCATATTTGATTTTTGTTTGGTTTGATCCATATTTATTTAAAAATTACATAAGCTTGAGAAGTCTGTTTCGTTTTTTTGTAGAGTTTACATGTAATTATCTTTTGATCTTTTGTTGCTAGCTGCATTTGTATTTATTGTTTTCGGCCACCCTTCATCTATAATTGTTGGCTTATTATTGATGCACAAGCTTCTTGTCCATATACTTGATATAATTGTTTTCTCTTTGCTGTTAGACATACGCAATGAGAAGCTTTGATTTAGTAAAAATTTTTTAAAAACTGTGCTTGCAGTAGAATGATGGTTCAAAGCATTCAACTTCTTTTTTAATGAATACTTAAATAATATCAATGGACTAACATTTATGTGGTAGTCATCCAATATCATGGATGTTAACTTTTTAAAACTATTTAATTAGTTATAAATCTTACTCTTAGAAAAAAGCAAGCCTTGATGAATTCAAACATTTTCTTAGTAAATATGTTACAAAGATAAATATGAATCTTGTAAACATTCGTGGAATCTCTATAAAAAAACACTTACTTGAGGGTGGGTCTGGGTGTGAGTGTGGATGTCGGTGTGGGTCTTATTTTCACCCACACCCACGCCCTGTTCTTTTATACGTCTATGATTTTCAATCATCTCTACATCGTCGGAATTAAAGACTTTAATATCATTGTAGTTACTCTTAACTTGTGGCTTGTATTTTCAGAGCACTTTCCTTTACATAACTGCTATTATTTAAGTGTTTACCTTAAATTACTACAATTACTACAGTCGGTTTCATTCTATACGATTCAACGCACTCAACAAAGTAAATACATATGCATTTATGATTTCTATTAGGAAACTTTAAGCAGCTCGACGAGTATTTTGACAAAAAAAAATATTCTTACATTGCTATTTTCATGAATAATGACGGCCCATGTCGCTAAAACCGGTCTAAAACCGCCGGTTAACCGCGGTTAACCATCCGGTTAACTGGGCGCTTAACCGTTCGGTTAACCGGCGGTTCTTTTTCATGATATATTTTTATTTCTCACTGGATGAGTATTTTTTAACTCTTAGAAAATTGTCAGATTTGAGTCGAAATCGCGCTTCCCTATATTTGTAAACACGCTGAAGCCGCCGGTACTAGCCACATCGGCTAATTTTGCTTAATTTACGAGTTTGAATATTTCATTAAAGATGCCGCTAGAAAAATTACAATAAGTTAGAACATTAACCAATAGAAAAATTTGTAGTGTCATCTAAAAAAATGTACTAAAAGAGACTTAAATTGTTTTTTTTGAGTAAAAAATGATGTTCTTAGAAAGACCAATATTAATTTTATCAAAAAATCGGTCGAAAACTGATGAAAAACAAATGAACCGGTCGAACCGGCGGTTTTTTCACAAACCGCGGTTAACCGACGGTTTTAATAAAAAAGAAGCGACATGGGGGTCGATTCACTAGAAAAGATTGTCAATTGGTTTTTTTTGTCGACCATTTGATTAAATCACTATAGGAGGCAATTTATTAAAATAACATTACTGAAGTCTTAGAACATTGTATATCATGATTTTATAGCATTTGGCAATTGCCCAATATCCCAAGCCTGGCTACGCCACTGTTGTATTTATTTCATATTCACCTCTATTTGATCGTTTATCTACTTATTTCTATTCAAGTTCTACTGAACAAATTAAACCATAAGTTAAAGAATTTTTTGATAATGCACGAATAGTTCAACAATTATTATATACAAGTGTAGCAAATCTAGAACGTGTACCAACAAGTATACCGCATGAAGATTTATGTTATGGAGCTTGGCTAGATTTTAATTTATGTATAATGCATACAGAAATAATATGAAATAAATTATATGAGTTAAAAAATAATCAACAATTATAACGGAGTAGAGAACGTGTTAAATACTTAGAAGGAAAATTAACACAACTTTAATCAAAAAATATTTACATATAATTCTTTCGAAATTACTATAGATATATGAATAACTCTTCATATATGGTATTCTGTATTTTGCATTTCTTTTTTATAGTAAACATTTAGGATAAAAAATTTTGTGAAACATGATCTAAGAGAAGTGTTGAAGTGTATAGGGTAGAAATTTGGGCCCACTCCCGCAGACTGTGACAGAGAAAACCCATACCCATCACAGACCGTGACAGAGAAACCTAGTACCCATCACCGATCGTGACAGAGGGCTCCAAAGACCATCACAGACTGTGACAGAGAAATCCAATACCCATCATAGACTGTGACAGAGGGCTCCAAAGACCATCACAGATCGTGACAGAGAAATCCAGTACCCATCACAGACCGTGACAGAGACAACCCATACCCATCACAGACTGTGACAGAGAAATCCAATACCCATCGCAGACTGTGACAGAGGGGCTCCAAAGACCATCACAGACCGTGACAGAGAAAATCCAAATTCTTTCATTCACTATATAAAAAAGCTTCATCGTGTTTCACATTTTTAATCCCGTAGGAATTGCGCTGAAAGCTTTTTTACGTACAATTTGATGAGATGATTCGAAAGATCAATTTAATTTTCCTATTTATCGATATAAAAGATTACGAAAGCAATTTATTCAGTTCAGTATTCTAATTATTGAAGATAATTTATTACTATACAGTGAAATAACCAGGATTTTTCTGCTTTTATACCATATCTATGTGAATTTTTCATAGAAGTCTCCTCACACCCACACCCACCCCACACCCACACCCACACACCCACACCTACACCCCACCCACACCCTCAAGATAGCCACACCCACAGCCTTGGCAGGAATGTCTGACGTTCTGTTGGTGACTTGTACAGACGTGCACATGGTAAACCTTCATAACATGCATTTATATATAATATATGTATGACTAGCAGTTTCTATCTTGTCATCGTCTTTTCGAAGATATTGACAAGGGTGGTACATGTCATACATCCATAAATGTATGTTTGTCTTACCATTGCTGACTTTGTCCGCTGTACGAGCCAACAGAATACGGAGGGTATTCTTGGTCGCGCGTGCACGAACTTGTGCAGCTGCTCGCTTCGGCGTGCTTAGAATTTAAAATGGCTGGTTTATTTTCTCATTTCAAAATAAAAAAATTACATTTTCTTCTTTAAATTTTCGACATTTCTTTGAGTCTTTGCAACGTGTGGATGCGTTGGCGGGAGAGTTTCTCTGAATATATCACGTGTTCTTTCAAGAAATGAGAGTGCTTTTGAGTATTCTCTCATCTGTTCATACAGTATACCAATGTTACCATACAACATAGCCAAGCTGGGATGATTCGGAGGGAGAGCTATTTTCTTGATTTCAAGTGCTCGTTCGTACTATGAAAGTGCTTTCGAGTACTCGCCCATGTTATCATACACCAGACCGATGTTGTTATAGGAACTAGCCAAGTCGGGATGATTCGGAGGGAGAGCTTTTTTTTGCATTTCAAGTGATCGTTCGAACGATGAAAGTGCTTTCGATTACACGCCCATGTTAAGATACACAATACCGATGTTGTTGGAGGAACCAGCCAAGTCGGGATGATTCGGAGGGAGAGCTATTTTCGCGATTTCCAGTGCTCGTTCGAGCATCGAAAGTGCTTTCGAGTACTCGCCCGTGTTACAATACACTCCACCGATGTTGTTGAAAGAACCAGCCAACTCGGGATGATTCGGAGGGAGAGCTATTTTCCGAATTTCAAGTGATCGTTCGTACGATGTAAGTGCTTTCGAGTACTCACCCATCTTATGATACACATTACCCATGTTGTTGTAGGATTGAGCCTGATCGGGATGATTTGGAGGAAGAGCTATTTTTCGGATTTCAAGTGCTCGTTCGTACGACGTAAGTGCCTTCGAGTACTGGCCCATGTTATCATACACATTACCGATGTTGTTGTAGGACCGAGCCAAGTCGGGATGATTTGGAGGGAGAGCTATTTTCCGAATTTCAAGTGATCGTTCATGCGATGAAAGTGCTTTCGAGTACTCGCCCATGCTATGATACACGTTACCGATGTTGTTGTTGGAAGAAGCCAAGCCGGGATGATTCGGAGGGAGAGCTATTTTCGCGATTTCCAGTGCTCGTTCGAACATCGAAAGTGCTATCGAGTACTCACCCATCTTATTATACACCAGACCGATGTTTCCATAGGAAGAGGCCAAGCTGGGATGATTCGGAGGAAGAGCTATTTTTTTGATTTCAAGTGATCGTTCGTACGATGAAAGTGCTTTCAAGTGCTCGCCCATGTTATAATACACCATACCGATGTTGTTATAGGAACTAGCCAAGTCGGGATGATTCGGAGGGAGAGTTTTCTTGTAGATATCCAATGACTTTTCGTAATATGAAAGTGCTCTCGAATAGTCACCCATGCTATCATATATCCAGCCAAGGTGATGATTGTATACTGCCTTATCTAGATTAGAAGTTGTTTTTGCGAGCAGGACCTGGTAGACTTGTTCTGATTTTGGGTAGTCACCCAGTTTCAAAAGTATGAAACCTAATGTATCCCATCCTGTTTTCTTCTTGAACTCTTCTCGCAGGTGTGCCGTGAGTTTATTAAATTCGTTATCCTGATTACCAACGAGAATGAGATTAACTTGCCATAGACGATCACTATGTTTATCCTCAATCCGTTCGATACGGTCAATTCGGAAAATTGTATGTGTTGAAAAGAGTAGTTCTTCCTCTTTATTTTTGTAGTAACCAACTTGGCTTACTTCGGCAAATGGTGTTGATGATTTTTTGCAAATATCCGTGTCAGTATTGATAACGAAGAGAATACCAACTGAATTGGGATTCTTTGTAGCTGGTCGTGCAAATCTTTCTAGAGAAATATTACGATTGCGACTTGTCGACAAGAAGTTATTGAAGGACATAAGTCCTCCTTTCGTTTTTTTCATTTTTTCAAAATCTTCCAAGGACAAACCTTGTCCTCGAAAGACTTGAAAATGTTTTGGCGTGTTTTTTTCTTGTTGACGATGTAATTCTGTAATATGATTATGTAAATGGCGAATGAAGAAACCCATCTTCAGGATAATATCAACATCCATTTGCCGAAGACCATAATTGAGCATTGAGTAGATAAAATATGGACCCGTGTACCACCAAATGGGTGAATGATCTCGATACTCTCGCTCGATCTTTTCAATAGTTGTTTTGGAAACATCCTTTTGAGTGCGACAGTATTCAGTAAATTCTTTAATTGATTTTTCATCGTCATCTTGTATATCTAAAAGTGCTTCTTTTAACAATTGTGTATACATAAATAACGGATCAATACGATTAAAACTAATTGGGACCATATTTTGATCACAGTTTCTTCGATCAATTTGTAATGCGTCACAAATCGGTTCAATTTGCGTATATACACCTTTTATCTTAGGTATTGTTTTAATCCATTCCTCCTGAATCAATTGATTGTTACATAAAACATAAATGTAAGTTAAATATGGGCACTCTTGAATTACTGGTATTACATGGTGTCCTAGCACATCCGACACAATCATGAATACTTTTTCATCGTGAATATCAGTGAGAAAGTCAATACATTTGTCAACATCTGTAAATGTGACGACTATTTCTACACTATTTTGTAAATGTTGTATTGATTTATTATAATCGTCCTTCGTTTCATCAATATTCGCATCTAGCCAGATGAGAAGAAAATTTTGTATAACCCGGCGAACGGGTCGAGACAGTGCAGTACTTCTGCTCACTAGTGTTGTCGCTTCTGCTGCTAATGATGATGATGATTTAATCGGCTTACTTGTTGTAGATGATGAGCTACTAGTCATTGGTTCAGAGTTTTTCTTGTCCATTATAATGATACTAACAATGAAAGTGATAGTGTTTTCATCTTTTTTCAAATTAAGCAAACGATTGGAAATTTATATAGTTGTTGTACGCTGTAATAATCGACAAAACAAAAATATTTCGTCTCTGTCTCTAAATATATTTCGGTATTTTTTTCTCTTTATGTTAATGTTTTGATTTTTGCTTGGTTGGTTGCTATCGACTTCAAGGATTGCTCATCTCAAGCATTCTTTTCTTTCTTTTAAAAATGCTGCTGACAAAAATTTTACAGGTAAAATTTGTTTACATGCATCTAACATGAGGCAAGGAAGAAAAAGAACGGAACAAAAAAGAATTGCATTATCGTTATTTATAATAGAAAAAAAATGTTTAAATTCTATTTATACATTTTTTGTTCTTTCCTACTGTTTTTTTCTTTTAGTTGCCTTAGGTTTTATAAGAAAAGGATGATGGACTGCAATGTCTTGTCAATCGATAATAGCTTCTACTATTGCCAACAGGATGTGGGTGTAGGTGGGTATCTGTGTATAGAGGTAACTTTTGCCTCCAACCACACACACATCATCACTCAGTAATTTGTAGACAAAACTTTCCTTCAATTCATTTATTACTAATGAGCTCAGGAAAAACATTTGATTTTAAAACTCCCATGCTCATATAAGATCTATCATTTTATTTTAGCTAAACAACTTCTAACAGTTGTAAATGATTTTTGTCAATTATTAATTCTAGATGAAACTATACATTGTCTTGATACAATTTGAGGATGTGGGTGCCGGTGTGGGTGTGCGTGTGGGGTGTGGGTGTGGAAAGAGAAGAACCAAATCCACACCCACACCCACACCCACACTCACACCCACACCCCACCCACACCCACACTCACACCCACACCCCACCCACACCCACACCCTCCCACACCCACACCCTCCCACACCCAGCCACACACCCACACCCACACACCCACACCCACACACCCACACCCACACCCTCACACCCACACCCACCCACACCCAATTGTTGATTCAGCGATTCTAGATATTTTTCAAAAATTTTTTGATGATTTTCAGCTGAATTAAATAACCTTATTCTTCTTATAAATCTCTTTATATAGTGATATCAAACGAAGAGAAAAATGAATTTCATTATATAAATATCAACCAAATGAAATAAACTTTGATAAAGACAAGAAATAATCAATATGATAATCATTATTATTTCATTTGTTTTTCTTATAGTAAAGTTTGAATTACTAAGCGTTACTATAAAGCTTACTTGGCTGTTGAGTAGTAGTGGTAGCTGTTGCTGAAGTTGATGTTGATATTGTTGTCACTTTTGCTGGTAGTGATGATGTGATAGCAATTGTGTTAGTTTCCGGTATACTTGGTGCAAGAATAACAAATTTTAACACCAGAGAGAGAGAGTAACTGTAAATATTGTTAAAACAATAAAAGATATACAGATAATCTTAACCCAACGATGATGATACCATTTGCGTGGTTGAATATTTTTAGTATTATCTTCACTATGTAACTGGTTGAAATGTATATTATGTTCTTCAAGAAACTTCAACTCAAAACAAAAAAGAACGACCTATTATTCCAAACTACATCATATATGTCTATCACTCTCACAGTAATAATGAAAGATAAATAATATTATCTTCAGCACAAAAAGTATTACTATACTCATATCTCGATGTAATAAATTTTTACACGTAACTATGATATGCCGCAAAATTGTGTTTTAATTAGTAATTTTCGATTGAAATGTAAACAAAGTATGAAGAAAGAAAACAAAATATTGAGTGAAACTGAGACAAAATTATCAGAAAAGTGAAAAGAAATAATTAAAACATGAGAAATAAATAAAATTCGTTCGCTGTTGTATGTTTGATAGAACAGATATGTTTTTCAATTAAAATTGTACAACTTTATGAAAAAGTAAGATAATTTGTATAAATTTTATTAATAAATTGATTGAAAAAATTGAATATAATAAATCAATTATCGCTCAACATATAGCTACACAAAAAAATGAACTTAACTTTAAAAATAAAATTTCATTGATATAGGATAAAAAGATGACGCTATAAACATGAATAGACTACGTATGTATAGACGTAGGCAAACGTATTTCGATGACTAACACATCTTGTTTGATTGTGAAATTACATGATGTATAAAAACAAGTATTGCACCATTTAGCTTTCGTCTTTTGCAATCCAATATGTTTTTCAGAGTGAGTAATATTTTGATCTGTTTATAATTAAAGATATTCATGCTACAACGATATTTTATTTTCGAAGTTACTTCGTGTGTTATTTGGCATTGGAGGAAATTCAGAATTGTCTCAAGAATTTCAAAGTAAGTCAAACTATTTTCTAACTTGTTTACTCCTTGTTGTTATTGACCGTGTGAATGGACTGATCAAGATGTTAGATTATAAATTAGACTATTCATCAGAAGTTGAAATTTTTACTTATCTTAGAATTGAACAGTTAGTAACTTGATGTAGCAATATGGGTTGAATGAAAATATTCTCGAAGTTAGATAGATAGAGATTTCCAGAATTTTGACGAATACCGTGCGAAGTAAGAGGATTAATAACTTCCGCTCCTTTATACAATCGATTCAAAAATTATTGGTCATAAAATAAAACGAATTACACATTATCGAATCGGATTCAGTGATTGAAATATGAATGCTATTCTTTGAATTGATAACATTTGAGAAGAACATTTTACCTATGTTTAGAAATGCATCTTGTTATCGCACCTGTCAAGACAAAATTGATGTCTTCATTCACTGTTCCAAGTGAACCATTCTCGATTGATATAGATCCGAGGTCTACTTTCAAGCAAGTCAAAGAGAAAATTGCACAACAGATCAATATACCTTTAAGCGATCAATTTTTAAGTTGTGATGGTCGAATACTTGAAGATGACCATGTTCTCGGATTGTACGATAATATCAAGAATGGAAGTACACTTTGGATGGTGATATCCTCCGGAGATTTTCGTCAAACATACCGTGTATTTGTTTCAGTTTATACTACTAACGATGATGAGAAGCGTGAAATCTTCGAATTAGATATTTTCTACAATGACACCGTGGCTCAAGTCAAGTATGCAGTTTATAAACGAACGGGTATACCCATGGAAAAACAAACAATTATTTTTGCTGGCAAACAGCTTGAGGATAACCGAGTCTTCTCGAATTATGGAGTTCAAAAGGAAAGCACTGTACATTTAATCATTAAGAAAGACATGTAAAGTTGAATAAAATTGTTCTTATTTTTATTCATACAAGAAACTATCTTGACGGTGCATATCTGCAGAAATCAAACATGAAACTTGGAATTATCGGTATCATATGAACTTTCCAACTCACAATATAGAAATGGTGACTGTTGAATGCGTGCCCGCCAAGCATGTTTCCATTTGCCAATGTAATACTTCCAGTTGAATGCATGTTATGCATGATATTTGACCTGCCCTTGCTATGTCTTTATTATCCTTTCCTTTCATGTCTGTGCCAAGGAATACATTATTCATATGTGACAGGGATAAGTGACTGTTCTTCAAACTACAAATATCCTTAAGGATCACGTAATTACAAGACAGACATTACTTCTGAGGACGAGCGTAATTGGATTCGTAACAGGCGATGAATGTCCTTCCTTATGGCACAATGTTAAAGAGCGCGCGGCGACGTTAATAGATGTACGTCAAGCGTCAACTGTTCTTTTATGAGATAGGCCAACGAAGGTAACACTCTAACGTGAGAAGGTTAATAGAGTTCGCTTGAACAACAGACGTCCTTGTATTACATTCCTCTTATCCTCGTCGAGTAATGTGTAATTATCTTTTGTATCGTTCCTCTCTCTTCTTTCTCGTTACAGTGTTCCTCTTTCTTCTCTTTCTTTATAGCGCTCCTCTCTCTTTATTCTTGTTTGGATCGTCTTCCTCCTTCCGCTTTTCTGGATTGGTTCCCTATCATCTTTCTTCTCTATATCATTTTCTTTCTCTCTCTCGCTTTGTCTCTTCGTTTTGTCTCTTCGTTTTGTCTCCCCGAGAAAAAAAAAGATGTGTGTGGGTGTGGGTGTTAGTGCGGTTGTACTTCTCACTGACATCCACGCCCACACTCACATCCACACCTACACCCACACCTCACACCCACACCCAAATTTTGTCTCCCACATTTCGGTCGGATCTAGTATCGGATCGATTCATCTGGGTTTATATAGAATTGTTTTTTCTTCTATTGATGATACGTACATAGCCTGTTGTCTTTTAATCTTACTTTGAAGTCCACTTTTGTCCAGTTCATTTCATTCGAACTCTTTGATCATTACTAAGTCAACTACAGACTAGAAGCATAAGAAGCGAGGGGGACACAGCTGACTTATGACTTAAATGGTGTAAATGACTTTGCATGACTTTAATGACTTTTTTGACTTAAATGATCTGAAAGATTGGAAATCGTTATAATTTTTCATTATGTGTGTTGCGTTACGTCTCATTCTTACTTGAGAACTCGTTTGTTCACTATTCGCACGCCATGAAGTGAGGGGCACTTGTAAAACATGCGATGACTCCTCAATCAGGAACTGATACTATGAATAGATAGAGCTCAGTGAGCTGATTTTACTATGTAATTAAAACAAATGTTAACAAAAATTGAAGTGATGTTCCAATAAAAAATTTTATTTAATTATACTTTAATGTAATAGATGAATAGAAAACCTTTCAGGTGGAATAATATCGAAACCTCCACCGTTAAAAATTGGAATGATTTTTGTTTGAGATGTATCTTTAACACGAGTTATTCTTAATATTTGTTTTTCTTGAAAATTTTTAGTATTAAAAGTAAATTCTTTTGGTGATAATGTAAAACAATCAATACATTCAGTTGTATTCCATTGAACACGAACAGTATCATTCCCGTCAATTCGATGTGGTGGAGCAGAAAGAGATATGTGAATTTCTACACTTTGATTTACACCTATTTCTGTAAATTGTGGATAATATGAAAGTCCAAGATCAAGATCTTCACACACAGTAGGCCAATTCTTAGGAATTGAATCAAAATATTTCTCATCTGGTTTTCCTATTGATATTATTGTAAAATTTGTTGTTGTTCGTATATATTTAAGTCCTCGATTAACAACTTGAGTTAATCGTAGAGGAATTTCAGTATTTTTTTTAAAATAAATTTCTTCACATGGATATTTGCCTCCACTATCAATTTCACATTCTTTATTTGCATACCAATAATCTTCATCTTGAGAAGAATCATTTGAATGTATCATTATATATTTAAATTCAAGATAATTTTTTATTGAGAATGAATTAATATTTAACAACCAATGTGATGGAAATACATTAAAATTATTTCCACCATATTTCCAATATGTTTCATAAAAACATATATTCCTTGAAGAATCTATTATTAATTCAACGTAATATTTTGATTGAGGAGAATCAGGAATTGAATATGGAAAATTTTTCATAGCAAACGATCTTTGTGTATTTGAAGGATAAACAGGAAGTGATTGATAAGCTCGTTGATTTATTTCATCAATTACAATTATTGTTTGACCATTATCAGTAGAAAATACAATTTGAGACGGGAAATATGGCTGAATACAATCTCCAGAGTAATACAATAGAATAAATGATATTAAACACAAGAAATTTTCCATTATCTAAAATTTCTATACCAAAAATATCTTTTAAAATATAGATAAATTCAACTATTTTTCAGATAGTTATGAGAATAATACAATCACATATTATCTTCACTTCTATTCCATTTATTATACTGAAATTTATCAAAAAGTGTCTTATTATTCATATACATAATGTTGGATGTGTATCTCTTCCCACATCACATTCGATCTACAGCAGTAGCTTATCCTTTGAAAATATTACTACAACACTGAGACTGTGTCTAGAGTCTTCTAGAACCCTTTGAAAAAAAATCTTACTTTCATTAGTGCCAGGATTGACGCTCATAGTTTCTTATCACAAAAAGATGGCACATCAAACTAATCAAAAACGAAATGTCTCTTGTAACCTTGTTCAATATCTGGAAAAAATTCTATGTTTTCCAGAAAAACCGAAAAACTCTCTTGCGTTCTGTTCGAAAAAAAAATTTTACCCTTTTTCTAAACGTCAGTTGCCCAAGAAAAGTGTTTAGTTGTTTTCTTTAAAATGAAAGTTAGTTATCATCTGATATTTTAATCAAAAAATAATAATTAAAGTTAAGTGTCCACAATGCATTGTTGTTATAGTTAGAAATATATTTTCTCATATCAATGTGTCTAACTCGACCTATCAATTAATAATTATGTCAAGATGCAAATCTAAACTTTCGATAGATTTATAGAATAGAAAAATTCTTATCTCTAGATCTATCAAAAAATGGTATCCGAACTCTCGATTTGGAATCTCAATATTCACGTTCATTCAGTAGACGAACTATACTTTTTTCATGAAAGGCAAGCTTTCAATTCATATTAGAGAATACTTTGCAGATTTTATACATTTTTAAAGACTTTATTCTGTGATGTTTGGGAAGATTAGAATATGTGATATTAAAAGTACTTATTTGATGAATGAAGGACGTAATAATCAGCTCATTTGCGTAACAAAGTAACATAATAGTATGCAGAAATATTTTCCTGTGGAAGATAGATATTAGTGTCAAAATCATGAAAGTATGTAGAGGTAACTATTGAACAAAAGTGAAAAATCACTCAAAACTGGGAGATTTTGAAGTAGTTGCCACTAATTAAAATTAATTGACGAGTTAAAAATGAGTGTTTTCGGGAATTCGATATTCGATGGCTGCTAAAGGGTGCAAAGAATTGAAACGGAATAAGTAAAACTTATATATTCTAATCTCCGAGCACTTGTTCCACTGATTATATGCTTTTCATAGTCTGTTTGAGAACGGCAACTTTCTTGCTGATTGGAATCAGAATCGATTGATTCAAACTTACCTTTTCCGAGATAATATCACTTATTAGTTTATTCGAATATAAAACTAATATCAGTATAAATATCTGTTTGATTTCAATTTGATTACTTTAGTTATTTTTCTTATAATAGATAAAAATTAAATTTCAACGAAATGATAATTTGAGAAAAAAGAAAGTAATACTTTGATGCTATTTCATTAATATATTTGTTTTTTATCCTTCTAATCTTTTCTCATGCCATCTGTGTCAGCTTTATGATAAATAACATCGATCTTATTCTTTTTTGTAGTTTGATCGAAAAGAAATTGGATTTTTTCTTTAGATATCTGAGTCAAAGAACGATATTTGAATAAATATACTCATCATTAAACGTTTATTTTTTCGTGTTTTTCAAAAGAAAATTGTTAAAGAAACCAACTTAACATGATTGTTTTCACTAGTTTATGGAAGCTTTTGAAATTTTGATCCCTTGGCAATACATCTAATCGTTAAATGAATTCTTATGCATTGACCGTTACAAAATTTATTTATCTTTTTCATTTTTTTAAAATAAAAATATCCAAGAAAAAAAGTTTACTTCATTTTTGAATTACTAGCACCTTAATTTTCTACGTCAAAAAAGTATAAAATTTCTGAGAATGTCTTATTAAAAGGTGGGTGTGGGTGTGTGGGTGTGTGGTGTGGGTGTGGGTGCGGGTGTGGGTGTGGGTGTAGTGTAGGTATAGGTCAAGCACATAAGATCCACATCCACACCCTTACGCGTTCACCGCATATCCAAAATCCGACTTTTTTGCTGATTCAAAACTTTATTGTTCAGGATTTTATCAATTTCGAAAACAAAAAATGCAACTGTAAAATACGCAGTTTTATGTAAATTATAGAGCTTTTCATGCTACATTTGATGGGATGTTTTATTTTTTGTTTAATAGAAAATCTTATGTATAACAAAGATAGTAGAAGAAAAACGAATTGATCTATTATAAAAAAAAACACTGATTTCGCACTATCAAATTTTTTTTCTTTAGAACTTTGTCAGTTCTTGGACACTAGAAATACAACTGTGAAATTAGTTGTCCTCTGTAAATTTTCAAGCTTTTCACGCTGCATCTTCTGGCATGTCAGAGACCGAAACGGGGAGCATTTTTGGCTGGACGGGGCGGGGATGGAGAGAGAATTGGCGTGTAATAGCGGGGCGGGGCGAGGACGGGGCGACCAAAAAAAATTTAGGTCGGAGCTGGGCGGGGACGGGGATGGGCAGAATGAAGTAGATTCCTGGAAAACCTTCTTGTTCTTCAGTTTTACATTCAGAATTCGTATAAGCATTAAGGAAGAGTCGCTGAAAGTCGGGGCGGGACGGGGTCGGGGAAGAAAAAAACTAAAGAGCGGGGCGAAGCGGGGTCGGGGAAGCAAAAATAATGAAGAGCGGGGCGAGGCGGGGTGGGGAGTGGAAAATTCGCCCCGTTTCGGCCTCTGGGGCATATTTTGTTTTTTAAATAGAATATATTTACGGATCGAAATATGAAATATGAGATTCTCTCATTCAATATTAATCATCCATTAGCAAGTTGCGTGCATCTCAAATAAAAGAAACGACGGATCACAAAGACGTACAAGATTTAGAAGTCGAAAATTTTGCACATTATCCTAAATATGTCTAAGCATTATAACGAAATACTTGAAATCGAATTGAGTCTTTTAGAAGAAACGGCCGAAAAAAACTTTTGTAGTGCCCCATGTACTTTTCTGGTGCACTGATCATGTCTATATGAGTAACAATTTTACACTTATATGTCTGTCACACTATATACTACTATCAATTAAACGAAGACAGTTAAGGAAAGCAATAAGTCCGTATTGCTTCCCCAATTTTATTTTAGAAGAATTAATTGATATCCCTTGTAGTGCAGGCGCGTCGCCTATGACAGTAAATATAGCAATACGGCTTTTTATGTCACTCAGTATTACGATCGTAATAAAGGACGATTTAATACATCGAAATATTATTATTTCAGAAAAATACAGAAAATATGAGATTATTCATGAGAATATGCGTACATATTTGTATTCTTCATTCAGTATGAATCTACTTTTACATGGTATTTTCGATTAATAATATATCAAAAATGATTCTGCATCAACAACAAAATATTTTTCGAGCTTCACTACAGAATAAGGAAAGCTATTGTTTAACTAAGAAAGAGATTTATCATAGAAATAATAATGTGTTTATATGTATTATTATTTTATTTTGCGACTGCTTCGAAAATTTTGTTAATTGTGTAACAGAATTAAAATGATCATTTTAGGTACGATCAATTCTTTTTATTTCTTTAAAATTAGTATGAACTTATTCAAAATACCTCCTAAAGTCTATTCGATCAGCATCTGTTCTAACGATCAAGTGTCTTAGAGCGCAACTGTCCGACTCCGATTGTATTAATAGTTTTGTTTTTGACTATTTTTAGATGAGAACTGGAAATTGTCCATTGTTTTCCAAAGTAACAATACTTGAACTGATAATGTTTGATGCCCAATCAACTTTTTCCTTACAAAAATTATCCGCATACGTCGATATTTCACGTTTAGTTGTCATAGATATAATTAGTGCGTTTTTTCCTCGATATGATAGAAATACATTTCTAAATATTGGTTATTTTCTGAAACAAGCTTGTAATCTTTCCACACTAATTATTAAGACTACTGTTAATGGATATTCATATAACGAAACTATGGAAAATATTCATTCAATTTTACCATATCATATAAAACATTTAAAAGTATTAATAAATAATCTAAAACAAATAAACACTATCCTTAATCAATGTAAAAATTTGGCAACATTAACTATATATTCTAATAACAATGGATTATTAAATTTGATTGCAAAATATTTTGATCGAAATATGAGTATGTTAACGTGTCACAAAGACGAGAGAGAAGTTTCAATTTGGTTGGGAAATAATAAAATGCAATCAAATGAAACATGTGACAAACATAAACGAATGAAATTGACTCAAACCAATTCATACTCTCATAAATAACAATTACACATCTAGAGTTTACCAATTAAAACAATTAAACATTTTATAAGTTTATATGTCCAACAATCCGTGGATAAAAAGGGTGTGGGTGTAGGGATGGATATGAGTATTATTAAATAAAAGAATAACACCCACATCCTGCTGTAATGATGATGAATATGACACGAGCCAAATGGATCAAAATTAAAATATCATTACTTTTTTTCCTATGCTGTCATATACATTTTTTCTAAATAAATGAACTATATTAAAAATATATGAAATCTCAAGAGTGTAGCTTGACATCAACAGCTAATTAGTGTCAGAAGTATTTAAAACACATTCATTTGTAAACATATCTGATTATAGATATATGAAATATTCTCATACTATTAATATAAAGGTGAAAAATCAAGAGTCATTCATTTCTAAATATATGATAATAAATTGATATGCTAAAATTTATTAGATTTTCTTGTTATTTATATCAATAAATAATCAAGAATAATATAAGCTACCAAAATAGTTACATTTTATTCAAATCTAAAGAGTTTACTATTTGATATTACCGGATTTAGCCACGAAAGAAAACCCTAAATTTAGTATATAACATGGATTATAGAGAAAACTGACTTTTAATCAAAAGTGCTTTACTTTTCTCAAGAGCCAAAATTGTGAGACAGCCTAGATGGCAGAACT